TACGAAGATATCGACTTCGGCAATTCTGCTACACGTATCTATAGTGGTAATACAATTGAAATAGATGATGATAAAGAAATCGTGAGTTGTGAAACAAAAAATAATAAACGAAAGGCAGTATTACTGCGGAACCCACTTTCTGAAATCGTCAACTGCAGTGATCCATCTACTACAACTGCCGACAACTGTGATAACAGATCTACAAAACATGGATCATGTGATAATAAGAAGGTAAAGGTAGATTGTTCCTACAATGATTTCGAAATCAAACCGGTGAAGAAGAAGAATGAAAAGGAACCTTTTGTGTTACCAGAAAAAATAAAATCTTTAAGCGAAATATCGCAATTGATGTTACGCATTCAGGAAAAGACACTTGAACTGAATCGTGAAGAAGTTCAAGTGAGAAAAGATACGCTTGAAACTCAAAAAGGCATTTTACAAGAACTAAAAGAAATGAAAGAACTTTTACAATTACGTCATGATTTGTGAATAGTATGTGCATACCTCGATTTGTTGAGTGATTCAATTGTCTTAATAATTTTCTACATGATCTCGTGGGAAAGTCCTTCAATCTTTGTCTTTCATTTTCAGAGAAACTTTTAGATAATTCTCAGGGACATTTTTGTGACTAGAGTGTAATTCTATCTCACTTATATAGGCGATGCAGTATGTCGCATGGCTGTGTCGCAGCTTTTAATAAAGACAGAAGAACAAGATGCACATAATCCGCAGTATTAAGACAATTCCGAATCTGTCAACAACAGAAATGATAGGTAGTGTACATAACATCAATTCTGACGTCGTGATTATTCAAGTATTATTAATATTAGTTTATTTTGTTCTGTTATTAAATATTATTTTTTAAATTAGCATACAATAGTCACTACTAATTAATTATTGCATTAAGATTGTTCTTTTTCCTTATGAAATGCAATGAGCAACGCTATTACAGCTTTCTCAACAAATTTATCTTACACTCTATGATATTACCTTAAAAGCTAAAGAAAGCTTTGAAAGAAAGATTGTAAGTTCATATGACTATTAATTATTTTTGTCAATAATATTGTTCGTTTTTGTTGTAAGATTTTATGAGCAGGTCAATTTGCAGCTTTCTCAACAAACTGTTACCTTAAAAGTCAAAGAAAGCGTAGACTGTAAGTTCATATGACTACTAATTATTTTTGTCAATAAGATTGTTCGTTTTTGTTGTAAGATTTTATGAGCAGGCCAATTTGCAGCTTTCTCAACTAACAGTTATGTTAAAAGCCAAAGAAAACATAAACAAAGTTTATATGACTGTTGATTATAAAAATAATTAGAAAAGTTTGTACAGAAGATTTATCAAAGAACTGTGTGTGTGTGTGCCTTAAATAAAAAAGAGGGCATGATTATCAATAATAAAAGATAATAAGAACTATTATACTTTAGTAATGCAAGATTTTGTTAAGGAATAAATTATTATAATATTAATATATGAATTCGTTTTATTACACCATAAAATTACTATATAATTCCTACTGAATAACCGAGACTATGGACATATTCATACGAAGAGTAAATGAAATGTAATACACTTTTTTTAAGACGATTCATTTATGAAACTAAATATGTATATTTATACACAAAACGTAAACTACGTAAAAAAGCGCCGTATTATATTCTCTCGTTCTTCATTTCCTGTACGGCGATTTGGCACATCCATGGCATTAATTCCATTGGCATCATCAACTTCATGATCAATGTCGTCAAAATACGGCTCTGGATCTGGGATGTTGTACCATTTTGCGACATTGTGTAGAACACATCCAGCATTAACAATCAGTGCTACATAACAGATATCAGTTTTCTTCAGTTATATTACGTCTTTCAAAAGCATCATGAAACACAAATAGGAATTTTACCTGCAAATTCTGGTTTATAATGAAGCGCCCGTTCCTTTCGCAAACATCTCCAACGTCCCTTCAAAACGCCTATGCACCGTTCAACTGAACATCGGGCCTTTACATGTGCATTAGTGTACGCTGCAGATGGCGATCCTGGTATTTGATTTAGCTTAGGAATCATTAAATACGGCAACAAAGGATACCCGGAATCACCTATACATCAAGATATAATAACGAAATTGTATATAAGTTGTATATAAGATTAGAAGATAAAAATTGTATATAAGAAATTGTATATAGTAACGAAATTGATCTTTTAGAACTGTCTAAGTATTAATGTTGAATTTTTCATAGTGTGTGTACTTTCTCAGCACAGAGAATTTTACATTTAAAAATTGTCCGTCAGGTATTTGCACATACCTAACAGCCATGTACCCGTCCTGCCATTCCTTTGTTCTTCTTCCAGATGAATAGACACTTCAGAAGCATTCCAAACTCTGGAATCGTGAGTGCGACCTCCATGGCCTGCATTAACTGCCAAAATCCGTAGATTGTAATCACAAATCTAAAATTAAAATTCGGAAGGATGTTAGTTATATTATTATATATAGTTATAAACTATATTAGATTTATATTAAATTTATATTAGATTAGTTAGTTATTAGTTATAAAGTATATTAGACCGATTAGTGTAACATTTTATTAACTCTGGATGGATACAAGATTAAATTTAATATTTTGTGTAATAATAAATGTCACGTGTCGATTGATATATAATATATATACATATATATAAATTTCCTAGATGTAACTAAGTGCATTTTTTATCGTATGAAATCTACTGTAGCTATTTTATGAAACATGATTATACTCACAAGCATCACATTCAAAGAATGGTAAAGCTTTCTATTTATATATAAATGCTCTCTCATCGTTTCCGGTGGCCATATCGCTATATGGACCCCATCGACGGCACCTATTACTCCAGGAAATTGGCAATTGTTCCAAAATCTTAATGAAAAATACATTATAACAATTAATTATATACGATATTTAAAAAATTTCTATATTTACTGGAGTTACTACTGATATAGGTAAATATTAAAGAATGATCAAAATATGTATTAATAGAGTATGAGAGTAATTAAATATTTTAATTGTCAAACTAACTGTTCTTTAATATGCTGAATTTCATGTGGCTGCGTAGGAAATTTAATCCATTCTCCCATAATTTGGTTCAACCCTTCGACTACTTGATGCAGAACTTTACTCATGGAGGATTGGCACATACATGATAAAAAGTCTTGGCCAATTCTCCTTTGATATGAGCCTGAAGCCATGAAGCTTAATGATGCTAAAACCTTAAGTATGATAAGATTATAATAAAGACAGATCTGTGACACAATAAAAATAAAGGACAATAATAATGTTATAATATAGTAATAATGATTAGTACATATTTCTGTATATAAGCACCGAAACCTTTCAATTTAATGTATAGTATACATACCATAATATTTACAATTAAATTACTCCTTATTTACATAGATATATAATTTATAAAAATAACTATTTATACTTCTATTAATAACTATTTATAATATATACATATATGTGTATATACATACTTTTAATTGAAATGGTATTGCTGTTGATTTTACTTCTTGCTGAATATATGGCCGTAATTGAATGCAAAGCTCCCTCACCGCATCTTTTGACAATCTAAAAATAAAAAAATTTTTCATGAAATACACATCAAACAATTTTTTTAATAATAATATTAGTATAATATATAAATTTATGCATATATTTAAAAATAACCTACATATTAAATTTCAAGTGCATACATACCTGTACAGATGACGAAATTGCGACTCTTGTATTGTAAACGGATCTGATAAATCACGTAAATTTTTACGTATAAGTTGCAATTTTCTCCTTTCTTCGTTTGCTGCAATCAAAACAAACAATGCGGCAGCCATTTCGAGCAAATAAATGTTAGTGACTTCTGAAATTCACTGATATTTCACATTTCCACAATCTAGGATGCTGCCGAAAAAGTTCACATGAAAATGTTCACATTTCCGTGCCACTGAAAATTACACGATCGCAAAATAGCCGAGTTCACTCGAAAATGTTCACTTTTCACCATTCCGCCCTAGGGGAAAAGATACGCGATCGCTGCCC